GGTTTTTGAAAATATAAATTCTACATACATTACTCTAGAGCGACTGTGTAAAGGTTTTACTAAAAAGACAGTAATTACTACAATATTGCTAAAATAAGAGGGCACATTTTATATTTTATTTTAAGCAATTGTTGAATTTTAAAGTACAGTCGCTGTAAAACTGCGCCTCCTCTTTCAATATTGAAATTTTTGTCATTTAAAACCCAATATTGCGGCCAGGAGTCATTCTCAAAGATTTCATTTTTAAAAAGTTACATCAAAGAATGGTTACTCTTTGGTTACATCAATCACAATGGCGGCAAGCAGCAGTAATGCAGCTATTTATTTCTAGATGTCGCTAAGGTACAACTTAACTTGGCGCGCGTCTGTAAAAAATATTATCACAGACAACATATACTAAAGTTGTCTGTGATATTCTGATATTATAAAGGAACTGCTGCATCCGATTATGATGTCATTGAGTACAATGAATGGTTGTTTGTTTTAAGACGAGTACCTACATAAACGCGACCTATGCCAACCTTCCTTTCTCGATTACTAAGATAAAATGGCATTTGTGATTTGAATGTGTGTGGGCGACCCTCCGGAAAAGAAGACAAGTTAGTTAAAAACCGTTTGGGAATTTTACACGATTGTGTAACGCTGCCCTTATCCTATGTCTGTCCTACGACGCGACGTGCATTTCCTAAAAATCACAGGGGTGCAAAAATGCATTTATTATCTTCGTTGGCGCAGAGATCAGATCTACTGTCCAAATTCTCCGGGTATGCTCAGGGGTAGAGATCATGGGGGCGGGGGTGAATTTTCGGCACGGTTAATTTTTTACTTCACTGCACCCTCGTAGCGCCGCCCCTGGGCATCCTCTGTCAATTTCGAGGGCAGAGATGGGCTCTACGCCCCCGATAACCCCCGAGTAGGATTTCTCCAGCTTTTCATATAAGGAGCGATCATAAAAGGATTGACAATCGAGTCCCCGATTTTCTGGGTAACCAAAAATTCCAAAGGTTGCTCGACTACAACTCTTTTTTGATCGCATAGTATGAAGTATTAGGGAAAATATAATGATTACAAATTGTAGGTATGACAAAATAAACAAAAACAAACAGTTTTTTGTAAATAAAACAAATTCCTCTTTGTATCCTTTAAATTCACCACGTCAAAGAATTATAACAAAATTAACAAATGAACGTCAAAAATTTTATTTGCGATTTCGACTGCAGAGCGAGAGCAGAAGGGCTAGGTATTTGAACAAAAAAACATGCCTTGAATTTGTTGAATTATAACCTCTGGTAATAGTGCATAATCGGTTTTTGCGTGTACCTTTAAATGTAATTTAATCTATGTCAACCAGCTGTTTTTTATCTCGTTAAAATAAGCAAAGGAATGTGCACAAGGTCCAGGAAGCCAACATGTAAAAGTAATTAAATTTAGAGTATACACAAACCAATTGTGTAAGTAGATAGTACCACCTACTCGACACGATGTGGCAGCACAATTTATTTACTACAAAGATAATATCATTGAATTTATAAATTCAATGATAATATTTCACTATCTTTCGATTTTAAATCATGCTGCGACCTCTGATATTTAATAGCTGAATCATGGTTGGGTCATTTCATAACTGGTTCAATTTTTTAATTCGTATGCCGTCCTTAAATGATAATCAGTACTTATTATATTATATTCGAAATACCCTGAAGTAGTTCACATGCGTAATGATACCAGTAGCGCGGTTAAACTAGTGAAAGAATTCAAAGTAATTTTTTCGAGACATGGATACCAAATCTATTGTATACAGACGGAGGTCCACAATTCATTAGTAATAACTTTCAATAATTTGTAAGAGAGTTGGGTAGTATACATAAAACTAGCTCCCCAAGGTATCCTAAATCAAATGGATTCATAGAAAGACACGTGCAAACTATTAAGCAAATTCTTTAAAAAGTGCTACTTAGATAAGAAAGACGCATATTTAGCCCTGTTGGAATACAGAAATACTCCCATCAGCAATGAAATCCCCTGCAGAGTTGTTATTACTTATTAGGTAGAAAAATTAAGGGTTGCAACCCGGATTTTCAATTTCAACCAAATCAAATACTTCAGTCAAAAAACGTCACATCAATTGACAAATCTAAAAATAGGACGAACAGATGGTTCAAAATTTCCTGAAAAAAAATGGAACCTGGAATTATAAAAAAAATTGATAAAAAACCTCGTGGTAATGTTATAGAAAAATGTTTAAGCAAGGCAACCAGTTAATTAGAAACAGAACATTTTTGAAACTCATTACTAATGAAAATTTATTTAATAATGACTATAAATTTCAAAATTTGTTCGTAAAAAATATTCAGGAGCAATTACCGAAGGAAAAAGTTAACGAAAATGTCAGAACATTCTCAAATCGTAATTTGCAGCATACAGATCCAAGTAGAGAGGTAGTGAATTATGACGGAAACAATACCTATATAACGAAGTATGGTAGAAGTGTAAAGAATGTATGTACTATAGTGATGTGATAATTTTGTTTGAATTTTTTCGATTTACTAGTGAAGTAAGGCAAGGAATTTTATTGTTTAATTTGTTATGAGCTATATTGTCAGTATTTTTAGTTGGGGGTTGAAAGTAATGTGTGTTATAAATTGTTAAATGGGGAGATGTCATATTATTTATGTTATTGGAATACCGCCAGATGGCGTTAATGTAAATAGGTACGTTTGTAAAGTCACTAAATATAGAAAGTATCGCAATCCATTGGGCTCGTGTGTTAGAGAGAGAACGCATGATTTTTGCCCAAACATGGCGGAAGTTACCAGATTCTAGTAACTTTAATCTTAGGGATTGTTCCACCTGTTTTGAGATATCTGTATATATTTTTATAAAACATGACAGTACTATGAAGTTAGGTTATAAAAAATGACAGTTATTCAGATTTTATTTGTCAATTTTTTTAAGTTGGCAGCAAATTTGCCCAAAAATGGCGGATGATTGCGGTACTTTCTTAGATCATATGGTACTTTCTATATCTAGTGACTTTATACGTTTGTAAAGTCACTAAATATAGAAAGTACCGCAATACATTGGGCTCGTGTGTTAGGGAGAGAACCAATGAATAAAGCTGTATATATTTTTATAAAACATGACAGTACTATGAAGTTAGGTTATAACAAATTACAGCTATTCAGATCTCAGAGATTCAGATTTTGTCAATTTTTTTAAGTTGACAGCAAATTTGCCCAAAAATGGCGGATGATTGCGGTACTTTCTATATCTAGTGACTGTTTGAATCAGGGACGGACCCTTAGATCATATAAACATGGATAGAGCTATCTCATAAGCTCTACTAAAAGACAACCGTCGCCAACATCCCAACGTGCATTTTTATGCCTATCATCTTTATCTTTTATTATTAGTAAGTTGTAATGTATTTATCCTTTGCCGGGTTGATTGTAAAAGTGCGCAAGCTTGGCGATTGTAAGGACGTTTGTCCGTTTGACATCGTATATTCGCAAACAGCTGTTTTTGTTGTTTAACCTTGCTTGACTTTACATGGTTATATATGAAACTAAACTTTTAATACAGTTCTGTACCACTAAATTGTCCTATAAAGATGTATTTATTCATGTATTGAGAACCTTTTTTACCCTAAATAATAAATATTGCATTGTTTATTAACATTGTGAGGTTAAAGATTTGAATTTTCTGATTGGTTACTATCACTGAAACTGTACATGGAATAACATATAAATTGTACGTCGACAAGAGAGTAAACAACAAAAGAGGTAACAAGACGTCATGAACTACAACCAGCAAGCAGTAAAAGCTAAACAGCTAGGGCTGCCGAAATATGGATGGCCTGCGGCCATCCAGCTCAACAAACGAAGAGATACAGCACAAAGTATGTAGAGTCTTGAATCAGAACATGTTGGCGACATAGTGTAATTGCATCGCTCCATCCATATTTATATGATCTAAGGACGGACCTAGACAAAAAAATTGGGGGGGCAGACATGTTTGCCAACTCAACTGTAAATATCCAACTCAAACGGGTAGTATCTATTAAGTATTAAGTGGTATTTCCAAGTCTAATAAATCATGTAGAAAATGTAGGATATCAGTATACGGTCTCATACTAATTAAAAGCATTACCAAAATACCAACCTTGTGTTGAAGAAGAAGGAAGTGACTTTCCTATTAAAGAGTCCTTTTTTATAGATTTTGCCGCAATTTCTCATTCCTTCAATAGTCGATTTACTACATTTACGATTTACCTACTTTCGCGGCATTTGCCAACTGGTAATGAAAATTACCAACTCTTGCCAAAATTGCCAACTAGTTAAGTATTGGAGGGGCAGCCTGCCCCCCTTAGGTCCGTCACTGGTTTGAATAAAGATCATTGTTGAGTTGATAGCCATGGTGACACACATCCCTTCTAGGTTCAACAATGACCTATGCCTGTCCAGTATGGGGAGCTGCATCAAAGTCTATAATCAAAAGATTACAAACTGTCCAAAACAAAACGCCCAGGATTGCCATCAACGCGCCCTGTTTCATTCGAAACACAAAGCTGCACAACGATCTTAAACTATGCACAATACCATCATTTATTAAAAAATGTATTAAAACATTATGCAAAAATAAGTTTTATGCTTGGAACAGAACTGAGAAGGGTGCACAATAAATTGATTCTCCCATTTACATGTAGCACTTTTGAAATACAGGGTTGCAGATAGGTCTGGGAATGGTAGCTGGGAAAATATACATATCAAAACTGTGCTATACAAAAGTTTTAGATTATTCAATAAAAAGTTGAACCCTTGTAATGTTACAAGGGAATCATGTTTTGAAAATTAGTAAGCATTTAGCTGGAGAATAGTTGCAACAAAAATGTCACGAGAACAAATTTCTGATGGTGTAAGTGTAGATGCTTCTACTCACTGCAATTTTAATGTTAAAAAATAAACTTCACATGGAAGAAAATGATTCACAAATATTGGGAATTCACATTGAAATGTAAATATTTATTAAAATAGAGTCATCATATCACAACAACATAAATATCTAAAAACAATAACAACATATTTGCTGTTCATCCCCCAAAACACCTACTTGCGCTTCAATTATTTATTATGTACAAGACCATTAAATAAAAAGCCAAATTACACAGCGTTTTAAAGCATTCTGAAATCATTTAATCACATCTTCAGCGTCATTGCATGTAACTAAAGATGGTTCTGATTCTGCTCGCTTCTTTAAACCACAATCACTGATTTCCCTGTCTATATGAACACAATTCTCCTCCACAAAATCACTGTTTATATTTGGCTCACTTCTGGTTACATTCTCATCTTGCGGCACAGTCTCAATCTGTATGTCATCACCATCCACTTTTAGCAGTTCTTCATTCAAAGTGACATTTTTTAGATCTACAGTGCTATTTGAAAAAATCGCAGTAGATCCTAGTGTACAATCTGGAGGAGGTGCAGACTCCACTTTTGGCATCTCACTAGTCACCCCATTTTCAAGAATCCTAACGGGTGGATCCATTACAGGTTTTAGAGGACTTGTAGTGCCATCTTTATTCCCGAGATTTTTACTAGATGACACAGTAATAGGACTTCCAGATCTATTGGTCAATGGAGATTGGGCAGATGCCTTTTCATTTTTGTGATGTGCTATTAAATTGCAAGCAATTCCCAGCATTACTATACTGTTTAAAATTCGAAACGATACCAGGAGTAAGTATGCTAATAAAATAATTACAATAGATGCTACATCATTTATCGCCACCGACTGAGTTATTACTCGCACCATCACGACAGTGAGAGGCAATGGTATAAATCCCATTCTTCGAGCGACCAAATCAGAATGATCAGAAAATGCGTGCTTCTGTCTTGTTTGTGCCATATCATAAGCCAAACTGGTTGTGTAATCCGTATACACATCAAGCTGAAGTTCGTTGAATCGCGTTATGAATGCATGTTTGATCCAGTCTACAAATACTTCGGCAAGAAGTACCATGAAACAATCTGGCAGAAGGACCCAGAAACTATCAACTTTCCACGAGTACTCTTTCATTGTTTGCAACGCAACCACAAACAACAAAACAACTAAATGAAATCTTTCTCTTACGTCACTGCAGGATACTTGAAATAAATTGTTTTTGTCAAATTTTTTGAAAACACTTCCTTTTAACTCCACAAACTGAAACCATATAAATTAAATATGCACAGACAGATCCACTACTTACATTGTTGGACATCATAATTGTGAGAAGAGCTTTGTTGTTGGAATTTATTGCAACGTTTAGTGTAGTGGCTTGAAAAAGTACAAGTACACTATGAAGAACTAGTAAAGTTAAGAAATAATGCTATGAAAGTGTAAATGCAGGTGTCTATCGAGGGACGGTTAACTCTTAAAATATATCATTTTAAGTGATTAAAATTGATTTCCAAGTTTTTAAAAATAGTTTTAAACATTTTTAACTGTTTAGTATACTGGTATGGAAAAAATTATTGCGAGTTTGACTTATAATAAGCTAAAAAGAAACCCAATAAGCATCATGAGTGTGAGAGAGATAACTTTACCAATGTTGACATAAACATTAGCAATTAAATGTGTCAGTGATACTAGCCTACTCAATAGACGCATGTCTCACTTTATACTCGTATAATGCTTATTGGGATTTCTTTTTACCTTATTATAAGTCAGACCTGCAATCATATTTTTTTCATATCTGTATAATCAATAAACAAATACACAAAGTGAGAATAACAGTGTTTTTACCCTAAAAATCTGCAAAAAATAGAGAAGAATCAACAGAATGAGTGTTTTTGAAGATCTTGGGAAGAAAATATTTTGGTTTCCATTTTTCCCTTTCAGTCTTGACACAATATATTTCTCTTGCTGGTGGAGTTCGAGTCATTAGAAGCACTGCAAGATCAAGATCTTCTCTGACAATCACTGCATTGTCTGCAGCTTTATCAATTGCAGTGCCTATAAATGTACAGCATCACTTGCTATTCCTTTCGATTTTGTCAGCCTGCCTGCATTTTATCTGACAGAAGTGGAATTAGTTGGGGACCAAGTTGCAGACCCTTGTTTTTTTTGCATTTGACAGCTAGCTCGCCCCTCATCCTCAGGGACTTTTGGTAAGATCATCTTCACGCCTCAAAGAATAACTGTACCAACTTTGAAAACTACATGAATTATTTGGTCTGATTTGTTGCAGATCATCATTTTAGCCTTGACTGTTAAATAATTGCATTTTTTATTAATTTTGTCAGCTGAAATATTTAACGTCAAATATTGAGCTTTTTTTTGAATATTGGTGAACTGGTTTTAAGGGCACCAAATTTAGTAAGTGTTCTTTAGTAGTACAAGTTGTATTCTGAATTTGACATGTAGAGAATAAATCTTCCCTTATTTTGACATGGTGAATATTAGTTTGGGGGATTAAATTATAAACAGTGCCACCTGAACCAACCAGTACCTAATCAAAACGACGACTGGTCGCGACTACGACCAACAACATGATTGACAATTTTTAGGCTAATTTTCTTAGACTATATATTTCACAATTTATATGTATACTTTGTTTCACTGGTGCTGAACCTGACGTCATAAATGTGATTCTCTCTTCATTACATTTAAATCGATTGAGACAAAAAAATTACGTCATTAACGTAAGTCGTGACAAACAAAACAAATTATTGATCTGTCAATAATATCAATCCGTCAAACGATTTTCGTTAAGGACAGATTTCCAGTGTGCCTTTTGATTAGGTAGTTTGTGTCAAAAGTGAAGTTGATGATATTCATCAAAGTTGAAAACGCTTAGGAAAGTCCACAGTGCAGCAAATCCGTTAACAGACAAGTATTTTAAAAATTTTACATAATGGATTCGCTCATATCATGAATTTAGGTCATTCCCGGGGTAAATAGGTAAATATGACGAACCGATACACAGAAGGTGAGCAAAGTTTGATTTTGAAGTTGATTCAGTACTTCCAAAGGGAAAAAGAAGCAGGCAAAACTTTATTACCCGTAAGCGCAGTATATGATGTAAGTGTTTCCTATGCGTTTGCTATAATTATATGCTTACTTAATCACAGAGGGTTTGTGCTGCTCTGGGTGTATCGTTGTCGACTGTAAAAAGAATTAGTACAAGAGGTGTTAAAAAAGATGACGATTACAAATCGCAAAAAAGTGTGGCTATTAGTTTATCTCACGGACCTCCGCTGCATGAAATACATGAACATGTAATAAGGACACGGATTTATGCAATGTATGCCACAGGTAAATAACATTCTTTATGTTCTAAGGGAAGATTTGCTTCAAATGAAGAGGTTCGCTAGAACACTTATTGAATTGATTTTATAGGTGAGAATGTTACACTCCGTTCTTTACACAGTAATCTTCAACGACTTGATGGCGTAGAAATATCTGCTACCTCTTTGTCCCGCAGTTTGAAGAAACTGAAATTCACGTGGCACCGTTTCTAATAGATTATTTTTAATGGAACAGCCCTATGTAGCTCAAAGAAGACTACAATTTTTGAGGGACTTTAAACACAACGAAACTTCACTCTTTCCATTACGACCTGTGGTTTTAGACGAAACCTGGATATACAGTAAAGGGTCTTTTAGAAGAAGCTGGCAAGATGGTACTCTCAAAACAGTTAGAAAAAAAAGTAGTGAAGGGGTCCGGTATATAATACTCCATGCAGGATCAGAAGATGGATTTGTACCACACGCAAGTCTAATTTTTAAATCTGGTAGCAAGTCCGGAGACTATCATGACTCCATGAATTGCCTTAACTTTGAGAAGTGGTTTGAACAACAATTGCTCCCGAACTTGGATAAACCTTCTCTTATAATTATGGACAACGCTTCTTACCATTCAGGATTGGTAGAAAAAAGTCCAAATCAATGCTGGACAAAAATGTCACTTATAGAGTGGCTAACATCACGAGACATTACATTTGCACCAACAATGATGCAAGATCAGATCTGGGAAGTAGTGAAAAATCATATACCACCAAAACTATTTAGGTAGGCATCGCTGATAATTAAATGTTTGGTTGCAGTTAGGTAGACCTTTGGATAGGAAACAGATTGTTATGGTTTTTTTTTCACTCCACGTTGATTTTTACAGATTGGACGAACTGGCATTACAACATGGTCATCGTGTTTTGAGACTTCCTCCATATCACTGCGAGTATAATCCAATCGAAATGGTATGGTCAGAATGCAAACGGCATTACGATGCAAGGATCGGTTCAATTCAGCCTGTCACACACAGTGCCGTTTTGTCTTTATGGAATGAGGCACTGCACAAAGTAACCTCTTTATATGCTGTTTTGTGAAACAGTACTTAATAACTTTAATGTTTAGGTTACACCGGAAAAATGGAAAAGATATTTTGATCATACAAGAGGCATTATAAACCAGGCCTGGGAACGGGAACAACATATTGATACATCAGACATCTTACCGGTGATTATCAACTTGGACGAATCTGATAGTGACGAAGATTATTATGATGATTACATTCATGAGGCAGAAGAGAATGAGCGTGTTTAAGAATATTATTTTTGGGCCGTTTATACATATATACCTACTTGTGATGTAGTGTCGTTTTTTCTTTTGTACATACGATTTGAATATGAACATTTGAGAGTTTTTTCAGGAATAAATATCTTCACTACCTGTTTTCTCTCACAATTGCGTTTTTTTTTAATAAATCGGATCAGAAGATATTCAAGATCCTTATGCGAATATCTCGAGTGGTGCAAAAGAACAGAAACTGTATGTATGCGTTGTTATTTCAATGAGCCTGTGGTATAATGCCTACGCTTTATCTCAAATTTGTAAGATATATAAATGCGAAAGGCTTACCGATAAACCATGGCCTATTCTACTTCTGCAAAAATGGCTAGTTAAGGGTCATTAAAATTCGCGCAACTTAACGCGTATCCTTCACATTGGTAGCATACTTAATTTCACATCAACATTAGGTGAACAAAATATTTATTTACGAACTGCCTAAACAAACTTTAAGTTACAAATGTTCCTATGCGTTTTCTGTAACCATCATACACTTCATCTCAAAGAGTTTCGGATGTTCTGGCAGTATCCATTTCGACTGTCGTCGGTGCAAAGAATCGGTTACATGAGGTGATTACAAACAGTGGAAAAAGTTTAATCTCGAGTTTAATTCATACCAACGGAGTTCCTCTACATAAAATACATGACCATTTAGCCATTATAAAACCTGGGGACAGGAAAAAACCTATCAGGACCAGATGCCTTACAAGTGATTGTCAACTTGGACGGTCTGATAATAATGAACGATAGTGACACCTTAATAAATAAGTTGAAACGTCAATGTGACAATATGTAAACCAGCTACTAATTTACGACCTGCCTTAATTTTGCTATGACGTCAGATAGTGTGACGAAAGGTTCAGCACCCTTGAAACAAAGTATAGTTCATATTTTGATACATCAATCATTCGTTCATGAAATGTAAATGCAATACAAAATTACTATATCACTTCACTTAGGGAGATAATTAACAAATCGCGCTGTCATACAGATCCTTTCATTACCGTACTCATTGTTCATCCCACCCTATATTGTTTCAAAGTAAGCCTGTTTTTGGCATTTGAACTGTTTATTGCAATCAAAGTTAAATTCTTTCCAGTGCCAATATCAAAATCGAATATTTTTCACTATAATGGCAAATATGAAAAAATCAATTTTAAAAAAGATTTATGAGTTTACGCAAGTTAACCATTCCTTGATGTGTAAATCACAAAACCAAGTAGGATTGAATCTGGGTAAGGAAATAAAATGTTTCACAAAACAAAGGCAACCACTTTCGCATAGGGAGCAACTTTCTTAAGTTTAAGTGGTGGTTGCAGTGTGATTTTTTAAGTAAACAAGTCACCAAACATTATGTTGCTGAAAAACTTTCCGGTTTCACAAAATATTTGCGCAAAAAAGGATACACACATAAGCAATTGCGAATAGCAGATGGGGTATGACACCAAAATGCTCCCTCCTTTTATACCTCGGTTCTGTAGCAGTCCAAAACAGAGCATCAATTGTATCTTGGCCAAATGCAGAGAATAAGCGATCCGCCACCTCCAGCATATTATAAAATATGTACAATTTAATAACGGACTGACTTTTTATTAGGTGATACATCATATTTGTGTCAATGTAAGACATGAGAATGCTGCAAAATATTATCAAAATCCCTTTTAATAAATCACATATTTCCGCAGGATTCAATATACTTCCTCTGGTTTGTCGAATCCTGAAAATAACTCAATATTTAGTTCAACATTATTGATAAGATAATGTACACGTACCCAAAACATTTGGCAACAGGTCGTGTAACCAAAGCCCACAACGCCAAGATAAACCTCAATGGCAAGAAGGTGTAAACGAAAAAGAACGAGTCTGTACATTGCATAAATCCATAAATCATAAACTTTTCCACTTCCCTCGGTATTCTCATAAACGAGTAAACCTTCTCACGTCTCGCAGAGTATCGTTCCTCGTCGTGTTCCAACACATACCCTCTGGTTAATTCCACTTTCAGAAAGGAAAATAAGGACGGCGTTTTTTCTGCAAGAGGTATAAAAATGAAAAGAGGGCAACCATCCATTCAAAACTAACCTTTTTTCGGTTGTTCAGTTTCGTCTGTGTGTACGTCATTGCTTCTTTCGTTTGAAATAAATTCATCAATTTTAGTATCATTAAATAAGACTTTCGGTGATCTAAATCGAAGCTTCTTTTCATTTGGCAAGAGAGGTAAATCATTTGCTACAGTGGACATGTTTACAAACTTTCCATCCTGGGTCAACTGTCAAACTTTCGCCAACCTGTAATTGTAATAAAAAATCCCTAACACTGAAAGAACAGGACCGTCGTCACTGCAGTATACAATGAATTTGGATTTTCAACTAACAATTAATTTATAAAAATATTATTATTATCTTGTTTAAACAGAATTTAAAAAATCGAAAGTCGATCGAAGCACCCTCCGAATTTTATTTAATTTAGTCAGGGCCGTAGTCAAAGCAAGTTGGCTTCATTTGGAGCTCAAGCCTTGCAAGCATCCTAGAATTAGCATCAAAGTCTTTCTCAGTGCTGTATTGGAGGGTATACGCGGGTATACGTTTAAAAAGAGATTTTCTTTTGCGTATACGGAAATGACAATTTGCTAAGTACGCAAATATACGGTCGTATATTTCTTACTCTGAGGTCGTATACGTATAACTTTAAAAGATTGCTGAAAATCTTGGACTAATATGGCGTTTTATTCTTTACGTCGATTACTTTAAAACGTGTTTATACTGTTATACGGTAACTTCTGGCGAGTATCCAGCTTTAAAAATCCTATCTAGCACCCCACTCGTCAGTACAACACCTTTGTGGCCACATCGATCAGCAGATGACACTAGATAAAAAAATTATTCCTTCTACTTGCACGCGAATTCCTTTTGGGAAATGTTATAAAACTATCTACAGACTACAGACCCCAAAAAACAAAAAGAACCTGTTTTATAAAGATTTACAAAAATTGAAAATTTTTAAACCCTTCACAACTCTGAAAACCTTCGAAAGTGTCTTGGGACCCTTTAAGGGTTCTTTCAAAAGCTACTTTTAGATATTTCCTAATCTTGTGGCCTCATTTATAGTTCCCCAAAAGCTTTAGAGTCTTACAATAGTACTTTATTCGGGGCACTCAAGAGCTTACCTAAAATATTGAAGACCTTTACTAGTTAGTATATATTCTGGCGCTCTCCAGACCTCGTTGCATGCTGTATAGAACTTTAAATAGTATATTGAAAGACAAGTGTTACAATGCGACCTATTGTAATACGACTATCTTGTGGCACGAGTGGCGACGCGAAGCGTAGCCACGAGTGTCCGCAAGATAGGAGTATTACAATAAAGCATTGTAACACGCGTTTTTCATACTATTTTTTCTATTTCGGTGCTTTAATTTAATTTAAAAAAATCATAATCAGAAACTATAGGGAACATTAGAACTAACATGTTTTATGTTGGGAAGACTTTTTATGCCGTTAAGTTTTAGGTTGGCAGCGTAGTAAGACTGACATTTTGAAGTTCAAACATGGAAGTACCCATAGAAGTACCCAACGAAGTTCCTACTTGTACTAACTAGTAACTGCCAACTTAAGAGATGAGTTAAGCCCGCTTGACATGGAGCAATAAAAATTGCAATTGCATGCAAGTTGCAAGAAAAATTGCGAAAGGCATGCGCAGTTCAAAGCCAGCTGATCAATTGCTGCAAGAGACTTGCATGCAATTTTTATAGGACCGGTGCTATTTTTCTTGCATGAATCGTGCAATTCTAGGGATAAATCTAGTTGTTTTTGTGGCACCAACCTAGTAAAATACAGCGGCGGCAACTGTGATGCTGAGAGACGCACTCATTGCTTGTTTTTACTAATCTTATTTATTCTTGTAATTTTCATGTTTCTTCAAGCAATCAAAATTTAATTTTCATTTGAGGTTAACAACTTTGTTGACAAATCCATATGTTTCTTCTGTTGGCAGACATGTGGCAATTGAAATAGAATTGCACCATGTCAAATACCATGCAATGCTTATTGCATGCAAGGATTTGACCTTGCAATTTCTTTCTGCAAGTTCTTGCGCGTAGTATTGCTCCATGTCAAGCGGCCTTTACCAAAAAAAAACGACTATAATCACTGTCTTTGTACAACTGTTTTCGGCCGAAAACAGTTGTACAAAATCATCATTGTGACACCGAAATAGAAAAAAGACTTTTTAGCGTCATTGGAACGTTATCTACCGATTTGTAAATTGCTTAGATGCTATACAAAAGGTACACGTAAAAGTTATGGAAACTTTCTCAGTTAGACACATGAGAAAGTGCATTGCAAAGCAGGGGGCGGAACCAATATAAAATATAGACTCCGATTCTGCACTACTTCAGTGCAGATATTTTGTAAGGGTGCCGACACCGATTTCGGTTCTGTGGCTTCAATAATTTTCGGTTACGGTTCCGGTTTTTCTTCAGTTCTTATGCGTTCCAACAAAAGTAAATAAAATTATTGTTTTAAAAAAAATATAAATTATTACTAATCATAGGAAAAAATAATACACAAAATAAATGTGCATGATTCTTTTGCATAACCATATTTTTTATGTTTATTGGAACTTCTTTTTAGTTTGCATGTTTTCTTCATCTCTGTCAACTGCCTATCTTTTTTACTTTCTTTTTTCAACAGTATGTCATCTATTGCTTTTCTCACACACCCTTCAACCCTATCTTATTGTTGGTGATTCATTTTCGATATTAATAATAATAATACTAAGCCATTTATTGGATATACATACTTCCATCTCAATGTAATAAAACAAAAAAAAAATAATTTAAAAAAAGTAGTGCCAAAGGCACGAAGTTCAGTCTTGCCAAATTGTTCTACCATTCACTCTACACCATGCTCAGAAAAGCCCCGGAAAATATGCGAACTAATTTTGAAATAATTCAGCCTGGCCAATAGAAAGCCTGCAAAACGACGCGATACATATTCCGCGCCATAATTATTAATTATTCCGTTTTGACAGTTGACGCTTCACGTTATTTTAATTTACACTTTGCTTCTTGTATTTGCTTTATTTTACGTTTTCCGTCTCCAGTTTTATACACACTCGTCTTTTTCAAGGCTCATATACCTTTGATCTACGATCTGATAAGGTAGGTACAGGTAGGTATGTAATTCCCTTAAAGTGTTTTTAAATTTTGCATCAGAATGTACGGTCTAAATTTCTAGCGCCCTCGGACACGCCCTGTCAGGGACTTTCTGAGCGTGGTGCCACTGTACAATATTTTATGTTTGTTTATCATTACGGTTAAGTTAGTAGAAATTAGTGTATAAGCAGCTCTAAATTCTGATTTTTGGCCATAGAAATTTATTGCAACTCTCAATGTAATCCATAAGGCAAGATTTTATCTTTGGTCAATAAGATAAACTACATGTTTCCTTCTTTTATTTGATTGTACCGAATTTTATAAATCGATATCAAGGCGCCATCAAGCCAATAAAGAATTAGTTACCGGCGGCGGCAGTAAGAAATGAAAGCGAATCTCACATGTTCTTCCCAGCAAGAATGATATGCTGATTCTCTCTAAAAATGTCTCGTTTACTATTATAAATAGTGAATTTCGCGCTCGTGTTTACAAGTTATAAATTTGAGTACATACAAGGAAGTAATAAACAATAATAACTGTTATGTATCAATCTATATATTTAAGGACCTTCATAAATTCAATAATTTAATAGTACCTACATTAATAAATTACGTAATTTCATTGTTCTTCCCCAAGGGAGGTCATATGAGCTAACTAAAATACTCTTTCACAATGTGGCAAAAACCACAAATTACCAAGCCTCCTTTCCCTGATATCGGAAAAATATGGGACCGATGTCAAACTTCACGTTTTTTGAGAGCGCTTCTTTTGAGATACGGCTCAGCTTAATCGGACGGGGCTCTGTAACTCACTTAAATGTTAATCCCTATTAGAGGGAATGAAATTTCCAAATTCGGTAGTCCAGCAATGCCCTTTTCTTATTTGGAATGTGAGGTGAAGCGGTGCCATCAGTTATCACGTTAATATTTTCCTTAAGCTACACCGCTGCACGACCTTGCCGGTTTCAATCCTGGATTTTCGTATACCACCATTAGAAAATTAAAATCGATTAATCGATAATTAACGGACCTAAAATTGCAAAAGATTTATTCTCTCTCTTCTTTCCTGACTAGAGAGCTTCCTACAGGAACGGTTCAGAAAAGGAGCGATTTACTATGAAACTTACATTCGTTATCGGCGGTAACACTTAAACAAAATGAAAACACACGAAGCTCACTCCTCGTCTCCTAGAGCAAATAAGTTAATTCAGAAACACAGCGCCCAACTTACAACGATTCTAGATACCGGGTGTCGACTCCACAAATATACGGTGTGGTCATAACTTCGGGTATAAACTTGAAGGCGGTAAAAGGGATGCTTCCTTTCAAGGTGATCTGTGACCAGCATTTTTTCCCGGCGAGGATTATTATATGAAATCTATGTTAGGTACACAATTTCAAAGAAATGTGAAGGCCGGCCCTGTCTTATGTTTATTACTGTCCTTGACACTCAACATTTAAGGTTATAGATAGGTTATGAAATGATCTATCCTATCGCAAATAAATAAAATAATGTAGTACTAAACTTTTGAATACTCCGTATTCTTTTGTAACTAATTTTAAAAATGCAAAACAATGAAACGGAAACAAATACCACGAATAAATGTAAAGTGATAATTGTAGGTGGTGGAATGGCAGGCTTGTCTGCAGCTTACCATTTATCGAAAAATGGATTTCACGATTTTATATTATTGGAAGCCAGAAGAAGGCTGGGTGGTCGAATAATACAAATTGGCATAGGAAATGAAAGAATTGAATTGGGTGCGAATTGGATACATGGTGTGTTAGGTAATCCGGTATACGAATTGGCAATGCAGAATGGTTTGGTTGATATTATGTACATGCCAAAACCTCCCAAGGTGATAGCGGCCACTGAGCAAGGAAAACAAGTTCCGTTTTCAGTTTTGCATGAAATTTACGAAGCGTATCTATGTTTTCTAAGACGTTGCGAGGAGTATTTCATATCTCAGTATCTGCCACCAGAGGGAATCGACAGTGTCGGTGACCACATAAACTTGGAAGTGCAATTGTATTTAGATAAAATAAAAGACTCTCAAGAACGTCATTTAAGGAACTTAATCTTTGATTGCCTATTAAAGCGAGAAACGTGCATCACTGGCTGTCATAATATGTCCGAGATAGATTTATTAGAAATTGGTAGCTACACCGAATTACAAGGCGGCAATATTATATTACCTGGTGGATATAGTTCAATCTTAGAACCTTTAACCAGTGAAATTCCTTCTCGGTGTATCTTCAGAGAGCATCCTGTGAAGAGAATTATATGGGGCAAATCAAAACATGCTACTTCAGATAGTGATTCGGACGATTCGGATACAACCGTAATCGAGGAACCCAGTAAAAATCCCATTTGTAATAGTAGTAGTCGTGAGTCTAGTTGTGAAAAGCAATCACCTGAGCACGATATCGAGGTTATATGTGAGAATGGGGAAAGATTCTACGGGGATCATGTGATATGTACTCTACCATTAGGTGTTCTTAAGCGTAATGCAAGACAGTTATTTGAACCACCATTACCCGACTATAAAATAGAGTCTATTGATAGGTTATTATTTGGAACTGTAGATAAAATTTTATTAGAATATGAAAGGCCGTTTTTAAACCCTAATATAACAGAAGTGATGCTTTTATGGGAAATGGAGGCTGGCACTACAGATTTAAGTCAGAGCTGGTACAGAAAGATCTATTCGTTTACGAAGCTTTCGGACACCTTACTGTTGGGCTGGATATCGGGGAAAGAAGCGGAATATATGGAAAAATTACCCAGTGAGATTGTGATAGATACATGTACAAATATTTTGCGAAAGTTCTTGAACGATCCATATATTCCGAAAGCAAAAAGTTGTGTTTGGTAAGAGTTTTTTGTATTCTTGTTTAGATTTGTACATTATTTGCATGGCAATGGGGGTGTAAGTGTACAGTCAATTGAATGCGGTTGGCAAGGCAGTTGGTCTTCCAATCTCGGTAACTTTTTTACGCATTTTTGAAAAAAAATACACTATTATATTCGTTACGGCTGGCTGTCCGGCTGAGATCTCGGCAATTCCAATTGCTAGAGACTTTAAATTTTGACTAAAAGCTTTCTGCCTCTACCAGATAGGTACCTAAGTATAGAGGTTGGCTTTAAATTTGGTCATTGGGCAGTATTTGGATGGTGGATAGTAGTCCCTAGTGGCAAATTAATCTTATCTCACTCGCCCAAGCTTCCTGCCTTTCAACAAGAGGCATATCTATTTGTCAGTGCCTGAATAAGCAATAAGCCTCATGTAAAAGAATCAAGTTGCGTCTTTTTATATTTCTCACTCATTGCTTATACTCAAAAACAGCCGCCGCTGTATGGTACTGGTTTTTCATGTTTATCTCGTAAAATACAATATTTATGACAAAGTGACCTCCTACAAGAAGTATTCACTATTCAATTCTACACAAAACAAATTTTTAGGGTTCAGTTGACCTTTAACCTCGCCTTTAACATTGTTTCGGCAAAGAGTAATGGGTACTCTTTGGTTTCGGTATCTGTGTAGCTTCCTCATCTGTAGGTGTTTTTGAGGGTTTTTTGGAGAGAAAGAAACAAAATGACGTTTATTAATGATAATACAAATAAAAAATCTGATGCAACTGAATACCGAACGAACCTCGAGATCTTCGCACATACCTACATCATTTTTACAACACACCTTGGGATTGATTCTGTCCCACCAGATCAGCATAGCTTGTAAAACAAAGTTTCGAATTGGCATTAGTTTTACTTTTATACGATGTCCGTATATACAAAATTTCATTTAAATATCTGAACAAATAAAAAATTTGAAATAGCGCATGCGCAAAACAAATTTTTTGATCGGCATCAGTTTTACTTTTATTTGAGGTGCCTACATACAAAATTTCGTTCACATATCGTAACAAATAAAAAATTCGAAATTGCGCATGCGCTAAACAAATTTTTTGATTCATCATTAGTTTTACTTTTATTCGAGGGTACATACAAAATTTCACGCTATGTTTGATCTGACAGTAGTTCGACACATGATGGATGTCAGTTGATGTTGCTAGGCAACATTTCCAGTCTGGTAAAAATGTTCAGTCTGGTAAAATACGATTTACTAGACTCAAATGGGTCTGGGAAAGCGGCGATTGCTAGATAGTATGAAATAAACTCACTTCTAGTCCTTGGTAAACAATTGCCTTCAATATAATTAATTTATCTTTTATTTTTCAGCACAAGTTGGGCAAGTCAGCCATACACTCAAGGGTCATATACAGCCATTGCTGTTGGTGCATCGCAAATTGACATTGAATATCTAGCTCAACCGTTGTATAATTCCAAAAGTCAAGCTAAAGTAAGTATTTCATTCAACCGTTGTGCATTTCCAAAGAAAATTTGCATACCTGGGGGCTGTGACAAGAAATAAGTACCAATGCAAGAGTGACAACAGTTAAATATCAGAATGGTTACATAAAAGACTATATGAGGCACTCAGTCATGGTGGAGGAATGGAAAAAGTTAAAAAAGCATTTAAATAAATTCACTGTGGTTTTGAAGGAGAACATTTTCTATGTCTGGTCATTTCGGCACAAAAAGGATGTAGACTCAAGTTCGAGGCTTAATGAAAAAATACTATAGACACAATATTTGGGCGTTAAATCAAATAAAAGTATTCGTTTCTATCTTTAGGTATAGCAAAATTTTGTAAAAAGACCGTTTGAACACCAATTTTCAAGCGCCAACTGGTTTTTGGGAATTACAGGCTATTGCAAACTTTAGAGCTAAAAGTCTTAAACTACACATTTTTGTGTCAACTGCACATATACAGGGTGGTGCCTAGCGCAACGCAGCATAGGGATTTCAATGGTAATTTCTTTATAGTCAATTACTAGCTCCCCTAATTATTTTAGAGCAAAAGTCTAAATACGTTTTTTTTAGAGAAAAAAATACTGCATCTGTTCATACTTTTAATTATAATTTTCCATTTTTCAAAACCGTAGAAATAAAAAATTACATTTTTACAAATCAGTGATGCGTTGGAATCTTTTAACAAACTACAAGCGCATCTCATCTAAGTTATCGTTGTTTGACGTCAAACGATTTTCATATTTAATTCTGTTTCAACTAACCGACGCAATAAAAGGCATCAGGGTAATGTTTTTTTAGAGAATGTATGTTGCATCTGCATCAGATACTATTTGTTTATCATTTTCCGGAATCAGAGTACCTACATAATCGAAGAAAAAAAACTGATTTGAAGAAGATTTGTTCCTAAACTTAAATTCGGATTTTCCGCTACTGCATTTGACGGACATTTTGAACGTTATTGCACTTGCAGTTCTTTAACTACTTTATAAACAAGTATAAATTTAATATACGTCAAAGGCAAATAATGAAACATGATCGCTGTTTTTTAGGTAATCCCAAGGCATATTTGATTTATTGTAAAATGAACCTTTTTATTTCCTCGATTTCTACGGTTTTGAAAAACGGAAAATTATAAGTAATGTATTTTATTTCATACTATCTAGTAATCGCCGCTTTCCCAGACTGATTTGAGTCTGGTAAATCGTATTTTACCAGACTGAAAATTTTTACCAGACTGGAAATTTTGCCTAGCAACCGCAACTGACATCCATCTAAACGTGATATTTGATTGATATTGATATTTGTCAAACTACTGTCAGATCAAAGAAATCAAGTGATCGACTTTTGCTTTTATTTTAATGTGTACCTACAACATTCTAATCAAAATGGTATTTTAATAGAAATAGAGCAGTATGAAATAAAATGTTTTACATTATTTGTATGTTAAATCAGTTAACGTTACTCGTTTCGAAATTCCTGCCTCAGCTACGCTTCGGCAGTAAACATCTCACTCGTTAACGTAAACCTTGATTTACCATACTCATATGTAAATAACTATTTTTCTCTAAAAAAAAAATGTATTTAGACTTTTGCTCTAAAATAATTAGGAGAGCTAGTAATTGACTATAAAGAAATTACCATTGAAATCCCTATGCTGCGTCGCGCTAGGCACCACCCGGTATACAGAAATTCAAAGTTATAAGTAAACAAATGTATGTCATACAAGAAACTTTCGCTTGTTAAAATGACCACAGTATGTTTCTAATTTAAACTTCTTTCAGCCTGTTTTATTGTTCGCTGGCGAACATACACATAGTAACTTCTATTCAACAGTACATGGCGCGTATCTCTCAGGAAGAACATCGGCGCAAGTTTTGCTGTCCTCGGATACACCCGAAGAAATAGTATTGAATTGTGAAGATACAAATGACTTAAGTTCGTGGATTCAAGGGATAAGTCTTAATTAGATTGCCTTTTCTAACTGAAACTGTTGCATTTGCAAATTAATTGAAATTCAGATTTATTTTTTTGTAATTAAGTGTGTCACATCTACTTACATTAAAAGCGCCAGTGATCGAATAAATTAAGACCCCATCAGTAATTAATTAGTAATTTTTCAGAGGTCACAGACTTATAATAGTTGTTTACATAAGTCAGGAAAATGGCACAATACTGGCGAGGAAATATTTATTTTCCAAGTCAAGTTGTTTACTGCTACTGAGGTCGGGCATTCTGTTATTACTTGGTGCAGTGTGTATTTCTTGATTGGTTCTGATATGGTCGTAATCGTAATTGTGGAGAATTGTGTTATGATTGCAATTGCATTTTTTACAATAGGACGCGCGACATTCATTGTTTAAGTGATTAGAACGGAAACAATGAGCACACAATTTAAATTTTTTTAAACTCATTCCAACGATTTTGCACGGTCAATTTCAAAAAATATGGTGGTGTTATTTTCTATTGGTAGTTGGGAGATCCACCATGTTTTGAACAAATACATCGGATTGATAGAAATTAACCTGGAAACCAAGGTGATGAATTTATCTTGCTGGACACAATAGGGAGGTTCGACATTTTTGGTATTTGTTTTATTTTAACTAAAATCGAGATTTTGTTATTAAAAAGGATCAGAAAAAAATTGGGTGCAAAATATTGATATTTACGTCTGCTGTAAGCACTTTAAAATGAAGGGTTGGGAAGCAAGAAAACGTACCTGTGCGGGAGACTACCCCGTGTGACGTCAGTAGCGAGAAACACTTGCCGCCGTGCCGTACGAATGTTTGTGGTGATTCTTATTCCCTATCATTTTGGAATTGATGAAATGGTAAATGATGGGAAAATTGCCTAGCATTACCCTACATCTTAAGAGGATACAATTTTTAGCTAATTGGTATAATAGAATACTAAACAATCCTTAGGGTCTTTTTATCAAAATTTCGGTTCCTGGCGGCTTGCATACTTGGAAATCAATACTAACCTATTAATTTTCAAGAAGTATGCACAGGATCAAACAGAAATGCAAAACAACACTGGTTTAATTACATAATTTGCGAACTTATTTACCTAGTTTTGAGTGGTACTGAAAAAATTCTCCTGTGCAAAATTCTGTAATTCCCTTAGCGGAGCTACGAAAATTAAAGTTGGCAAATAGTGGTCATCATATCTTATGCAAACAGTTTCTAAAAAAGGCATCTATGACGTACTTAATACATATGATTAGACACTAACAGACTTTTACATTCTTTCGAAATTTTACAGTCACTTTATGCCTTAATCCTTACTTCTATTAATTGGATTCAGATTGTAATTTCATGACTACGTTTTGTAAATTAATTTAGCAAGAACATTTTTGGTGGCCTAACTTTTGTTAATAGCATCGAATCTGTAAAAGATGTAATTTTTTGTAAGCTGTAGTTTTGTACGCTTATTCTAGTCAATAAACATATAAAACATAAAATCTTTATTTATACATTCCTGGTACCCTATACAAAAATAAGCCGTCATCATCATAATAACAATCATTTAACCGATATGTACACCCAGGTTTCCCTATCCCTTTAGGTATAAAGATTTTTTCTGGATATTCCAACAAGTAATCTTTTGTAGCTTTCTTTTTTGCCACAACAGATGTTGCTGTGTGCACTTTGCTAATTTCAAGGGGATCCTTTTCTATTATTTGTACATCACACTTTTCCATATTATCCTTTTTTGTTTCCCGTAGCAGATCTTCTTCCTCTGGGGATACTGTACCACCAAAGGACTTTTTCACTATGTCTTCTTGTAGCTGCTGTAGTGTAATGTGTTTGTCCCGTTTATTCTGTTTTGTGGTACTTAACATGTACGTATCCTGCAATTGCTGGTTATTGGAAGATCCTTTACTAAAATCGGTTTGTTTTGGTGTCTCCGCATTATGTTTTGTTCTTTGGTAACTAACAATGATATCTGAAAACTCAGATCCCATTTTGATTTTGGGTGGAGTAGTTTTCTTGGTGTGCTCTAAGTATGCAGGTTTTAAATTTAAAGTTCTATTAGTGAACTTTTGCAAATGTTGCCTTAGTTCTGTACTTAAATTTGTGATTTTATTTGCTTTGAACATCTCCCAATTTTTCGTCACTGATTTATCATGATTTTGTATTTTTTGTGCCGACTTTTTCTCCCAAGACTGTGGTTTCACCAACTTCTAAAAAACCAAAAACTTCTATAAACAAATATCAACATTCTTATACTTACAGCAATGACATGTGGTAAAGCAGGAAAACCCTCGGATAGTTTCTCTATTGACCATTCTTCTGGATCAGTACTGTGGAGGTAACGTATTTGCTCTTTATCATTCCAGGTCAAAAAGTTGGTTGCCGCTTCTTTGAAATATTTCTGCTTGACAATATTTTTGCTCAAGATTTCCCTTTCTTTATTACTGTCTTGTAAATGGTCTTCATAAGAGCTTCCGACATTTGTAAAATCAGTTTCCAAGTCATAGTCGTAGTTGCCAAGGTCTACAGAGGTATCATCATTGTCATTTTCAAGTAACTTCCTTCGATGGTAAATTCCAGGATCTCGTCGAGGAAGATTGCGACGGATTTCTTTTACGATTATAGCGTTGCAATTTGGTAATAGACTCCGAACAACAAACATCACTGAAATTTTATTGTGGTACAACGAATGAGAATGGGTTTATTTTCAAATTAAATTTTTAGGTTATTCCTATTGTGGATATTGTAGCGATCGACGGTAACATACAAGGACATACATCATAAATTACCAAGGGAATTTGGATAGTCGTACACCAGTTTAACTGCTTCAATTTGTGATGGCATTACAGTGTAAACATTGTAGTGTACTTAACCCTCACACTACATGACTACAAAAACACCAGAATAAAATTAACTCGGCAATTTTTAAATATTGGCCCACTCCTACCCTGGAAATCATTAATCGTAGAAGGCAAGCAATGGGTAGGCATTACTATATACCTACTCGTAACTCGAAGGGAAACAAAGCATATACTAGTACTAGTGAAACCAGACGAGTGGTGGTATCTTTATCTTCCTCACACTATAGTAACATAAAATTCAGTGACATAATTTTTCTATTTCACTAATTCATAGAGTCGTATTTTCTGCTTCTATCAGTCATGTTAATAAACAATAGGCGCGATGAGTCTGGCTGAAATAGTTATACCACCCATTCCGTCGCACGGCTTCAACGGTAGCGGTACGCATTTGTCGTCACCTATTCCGGTTTCCCGTCCAGTTACGTTGTTTATAGTTCAATCTGGGTAGGGGAGGTGTCGAGCACAACCACCTGTCGTCCACTCATATGAAAATTGGTGTGAGCGTTGCCGAGGGGATTTATGACTGCATGAGTGAGCCCCTAATGCGTGTATGGTCCCTGTGATAAAGGGACTTAAAAAACAAAGATGGATAGTAATAAGTACTCTTTATTTGGATATTTATATTGACAGAGATGATTTATAAAATGAAACGTGCTTACAACGACATGCGACCTCGCCCACCGTTGCAGGCGTGCCAACCTTGACCTCCCCAGGCTTGCATACATCACAGATAGCACAACCAATACGTTCCACCATTGAATTTATAAATTCAATGATTCCACCCACCTCGGCGCGCCGGGTTACCGCAATAATTCGGGGGGGGGGGGGGATCTATCCGTTTTTCTGGATAACCGGTGGCGATGGCAATGCCGGTACGGGTTGAGTTATTGCTGGAAGCAACAGACCATGGCACGAGTAAGCGGCAGATGGGTAAAGAAGTGAAAGTAATTCCCCGGTTAAAAAAGACCGACCAAGAAAGTGCCGTGACCCTCTTCGCCAGGAGTTCGAGTTCAAAGATTCTGAGGTATTCCGAGTTGACCAAACGACGAACGTTAAAACGACGGGTGCCTAGGTGAAAGGAAAGGGGTAGCTGAGGTAACCCCTTGTCTTGCACTTCAATGCTGTAACATCACCAACAGCGCAGCCAATGAGATGACGGAGACGGACATCCAAAGGATCACAGAGAAGGCCGACGCCAACACAGAGGAACAGGTCGACGTCGTCAAGCTCTCAACCTCAAACAAACAAACAGCATGGATGTTAAGTTGGCATCGGACAGACCGAGGGCAGTCTCGTTATAGAGATCTGCCAAAACGTATGTAGAAAGGCAATGCCCGTTTTAACTCCAAGGCAGAGAGCCGCTCTGTAGTATGACCGCGTATCTCGCAAGGCAACGACCACCGGCAAAACCAGAGAATGTGAAAACGAAAAAGTAGGCGTATCCTACTCAGAGGCCTTGAAGAAGATACGGCCTTGAATAAAACCAGAGGCTTCCGAGACCACCATCAAAACCGTCCGCAGAACCAGGGACGAAGCCATCCTCTTTGAGCTTGACTTGCATAGCAAGAATAGTGCGTCCTTCAGAGGAACTGAAAAATATCCTAGCAGAAAGCGATAGTATCCGTGCCGTTGAGTCAAAGGCAAAAGTAGAAATAAGGGACCTTGATTGCTGTACTAGTGAGGAAGTGGTACCGTTACCCTTGAACAAGAGGCTCTTAAAAAGGATGACATAAACGAAGTCAAAGTCTTTCTCATTAAACCCAACTCGAGACAGCATAGGTCTTGGCGATAGTAGAGCTAAACTGGGGAGCCGGGAGGCTAGCAGCAACGGGCTTGTCGCTGTGGACCTAGGCAACTCCTTAGTGTTCAGATGCTATTTCTGGTCAATCGACATACGGGAAAAATGTGAAGACAGTGAAGAGAGCCTGTCCGCACTGGAGGAGAGCGTGCAAGCGTCGGCAGACAAGTATTTACCGCTGTGGGGGAGAATGGTGACATTACTGGAGAGGACAGCTCGTGGGCAAAATAGTAACTCGACTGACGGGATATTAGGTGCCTAGACTGTAAAGGAAAACTCCTTATCATGATTGGATATAAATAATTCCTTATATCAAGAACAAATTGTCGGAAGATGATACTCACAAAGGGCGATTGGGACGTCTGTAAGAATATATCTATTGGTGATATCAAAATTTACGACCGAACATCTCGAAAACGCTTTGTCGAAGAAAAGTACCCACCAAGGCAAAACGAATTGTCTGTACGAGACATATCTATTATGGTGAAAGAGTTGTGCATAATTTATACTTGTTTGTTCCGTTTTAACAGTCTTTACGGAAAACTATAAAAAGGAACACAAACTATATCGAAAAAAATCTAGAATGTTACCCAGGGGCCAGGGTGTTACGATATTGAATCAGGTTCAAGTTCCGAGTCAAGTCAAGTCAAGTCCAGTCAGAATCAAATTTAGAACAGCCAATTCTTAAGAAATTTTAATTTAGATAATTCCGAGTATAATACACTATTCCTACCTGATGTAGATTCTTTAACTAAAAGCATTGTATGGCTAAAAGCCATTATATTACATGAAAAAATATACCGGGTGAATACTTTCAAACCGAACATATAAGGGAATTAACCTGGGAAAACAGTTTTTCGCAGATTGTTGCTCCCCAAATTAGCTTAGAGAGTTCATAATGCCATCATTGGAAATAGTGTTTATTGTAAAAAAACGTTTAGATACGGCGGTAATAGTTAGGTACCGCAGTGTGCGAGATTTATTTTCCGTGGAATTTAATCAAACCTCTATTCCGTCAATATCGACAATTCGACAGATAGTTTTTCAATTTTACAATTCCGGATGTTTAAATCTACGGGTCATGGCTACATGATTTTCTGAGTTCATTTTATTTTGCGAATTTTGATAAATTGATAAAATAATGAGAACTTGTTTGATAAATTGATAAAATAATGAGAACATACAAATAAAACTTAACTAATTCGCATTTAGTTAGATGAGAAAAAAATCTTCTTTCCAGTGGTGCCATTATGAACCCTCTACTATAAGTTAATTTGGGGAGGTACAAGCAGCGAAAAACTGTTTTCTCATGTTAATTCCCTATGTTCGGTTTGAAAGTATTCACCCGGTATGTGCAAAACCCAAATAGGCTATTAGCCTCGTGTTTACGTCTAGTTTCTTTAATATCTTTATTAAAACTAAATAGAAATGTGTAAAGTATGTAAGTATGGTAAACCTTGTGTATAAATACTTGAGTACCTAAGTCAAAGAATAGGTACTTAATAATAAGAAGTACAACGGAATAGGTTTCGTTGAAATAGTTATCTGTTAAATGTGTTGCCTAACCACATGAAATATTATTAATTAATCAACCTCCATGGCTATGCCTTGCAATGGCCTTGCAGGTCCCTACTTGCAATGTTGCCATATGCCATAACATCGTGCATCTTTATTTAATATTATTTTGCAAATCGACCTTTGAACTCCTCATTATTTTCATACATAATTTAATTTTATACGTAGCAAGATTAAGTATTGTTTGCTATGTACCTAGGGAAATTTACTGTTATTTCGTCATTCGGTTTGATTGTATTTCCTCTGGAATTAACACAATGGAAAATCTAAATCACCCCCTACACTTTACGAGAATACACGTTTTGAAGCACCAGGAATCCGGATCAAACAAAATCTCGATGTCGTCGTTCTGTCTCTCTGTTGTGTTATTTTGCATAAAGCCAAATCATTTTAAAGTTTCCGCCGCGAAATTATTGAATCAATGAAGATTTTGCTCTACCAGTGATCTGAACCCAAAGTTTTGTGGTACCTACTAGATTTGATGAACACAGCGCTTGCTATTTGAAGTAATGGGACTAACCATAGCCCCCCCGAATGTCAAGATTTTTTTGCAACATTCATAATCGGGATAAATGAACTCCTGTAGAGATTCTTGCGCATTCTTTCTTTAGCCAGACATTCAAAATGGTGGTTAACAGACCCCCAAATTCTTTTTGTTTAGCATGGTCGGGTAAATCAAAAAGTTGCACATTGTTGCATCCGAACAATGCACAGTAAGCCATCGCGAAATTTTAATACTAAAAACTAATACAAAAATCCGATATACTAACTGATACCCAACCATCCTCGAGATTGTGTTTGGGCTGTAACTTTAGGACCCGATGGTCTACGTAGCTGAAAAACACTAGTTCTTATTTAAGAACATCTTACATGTGTTATGTGTAGGTACCATTTTTCAAAGCGATTGGACGTTTCTAAACAAAGATATCGTGTAGGTACACGGAGAGACAGACAGTAATACAAATTATAAACGATCTCGAAGAAAGTATGGACGTAACGAGTACAAAACGCACCTATTGCTTGATCTTGCTATACAATTACATTTTGTTTCATCTGACCAAGTAGAAAAAGGTCGCAGCATTGAATTTGACAGTTATAAATTCAATGGTCCTCACCTTGCAAACTAAATGACGAGTATTCGCGCCTTCGATGCATGACAAGGCAACTTCTCTGTAAATGCCTTTGGTAATGAGTTTGGTAATGAGTTAAAAAAAATTATGAATTGTTGTCAAATTGCGATATTTTGTTTATGTGTTTTCACTTCGTCGTTAGCGTTAGGGTTAGCGCCCTTGAATAAGGAATCTTTCTTATTCTGATATCTAAATAATTATTACGATTTGCTTATACGATGATGGTAGCGCTAAAAGAAATCGGATTTTTACAAAACATCAAACATGTTATAATTAGGGGACTGGCGGTATCAAATATTGATTGCATATCGATTGAGGGCAGATGTAAACAAGTACAAAGCAGAGATAAAAAAGCTACAGAATTGCAGATGCAGAGGTGCGCGGGAATTTTTTTTAAGTACCTTTGACTCAATTTCAGCTGTTTTTTTGTTAAACTATCTATTGCCGCATTAATTTCCGAATACTGAGGAAGGACAGAAAAAATACGAGAGGCGATAATGATAGTGCTAA